TTCGTCCACTTTGGCCACGGCCGTGTCCAGCTCCACCTGCTTCAGGTCCATGTGCTGCATGGCCAGCGCTGAATTTGGGGAGGGGGAATGAACATGGATTTGAGGGGGGGTCGCTCCGGTGGGACCCTCTGGGGGGTCAGGCCGCCCCCTCCCCGCTCACATTGGAAGGTGAGGTCCAGCAGGTCCTGAGCGCTGCGCAGCCGCTCGCTCGCCATTGTCGCCTCCTGGAGGGGGCCGGGGATATATGGGGGGGGTCCCCCAGTTGTGGGAACCCCCCGTACCAACCCCCCGCGCGCCCCCAGCCCTCCTGGGGACATCGGGGAGTGGCATCTGATGGGGTTCGTGGGGTTTTGGAAGGATTGGGGGGGGTTAGGGCTTTTGGGGGGGTCTCGTGTTTTTGAGAGCACTTTAAGCTGGGGAGGGGGGTCCGCAGTTTTTTTGGGGCGGTCCAGAGCTTTTTTGTGGGGAACGTCCCCCGCCCCCGCCGCGATCCCCTGGGAACGCCGCGAGCGGGGCGTGCCGGGACCCGTTCGGGTCTCGTCAGCAGCAGCGGCATCATAATAGTAATTAGCGCTAATTAATCCAGCGGGGAGAGCGGCCACCGCCCTCCCGGGGCCCCCCGAAAAATGGGGGAGGGGGCGGGACCCCCGATCCTGTGGGATTTCCCGGGGGGAATGGGATGAGGAGGGGGATTCTGTGGGGGAGGGGCTCTTCGGAGCAAGAGCGGGGGGATTTAGGGGGTGCGAGAGGATTCCCCCGGGTCTGGGAGTGCGATTTGGGGGTCTGGGGGGTCCGATGTGGGGGTCCGGGTGACCCCTCCCCGGAATTGGGGACATACACGGGCGGTGCCACCCCTGGGGACACGGGGACAGGTCCCGGCTGGTCCCGGACGGGAGGAGGGGGGAGGGACCCCGCGGTGCCCACCCCCCACCCCACAGCACCCCAAATCTGAGCCGGGGAGGTTGGACACCCACGGGTGCCCCCAATTCCCTCCCCCGGGACCCCAAATCCAACCCAGGGGTCCGGCCCGTGGGACCTTTGTGGGGGTCGGTACCGGGGAGGGGTCCCGGAGGGTCCCGGTGGGTGCGGGGGGATCCCGCGGGGTTCCAGTGAGTGCCGCTAGATCCCGGGGGTACCTGAGGGGTCCCGATGGGTGCGGGGGTGTCCCGGTGGGTTCTGGGGAGGGGTCCCGGTGGGTGCGGGGGAGGGTTCCCGGTGGGTACCGGTAGATCCCGGGGGTACCTGAGGGGTCTCGGTGGGTACCTGAGGGGTCTCGGTGGGTGCGGGGGTGTCCCGGGGGATTCCGGGGGTCCCGGTGGGTGCCGGTGTGGCTGGCGCGTCCCCGCGGCCTCTCCG